GAACTTTTTTTTCACACTTAGATTTTGCAAGATTTGCGCATATAAAATTTTCATCATAATCCGAATCCGATAAACAAAGAGAAATCGATTTTGCGACAACATATGCTATAACTACTTCTTTGCAAATAAACCATGCCATAAAAACCAAGCGTAAATACTTTGAATATTTTGTTGGCTCCTTAAAAAATATGTAGTTGTTATCCAGTTGATCATCATTACATATAATATGCTTGAAGTCATCATATCTTAAACAAGCAATTGCACATAATACTACTGTTATGACTCCACATATATCTCCACATGTTTGTAAAAGATAGTTTCTTTTGCACAAAGAACTGCACAGCTTACCTACATACTTTTGAGTAACTAGATCATGGCAATATATCATATCGAAAGTTTTATTATTGTGATATGACTTTTTAATTAACAGATCAACTTTTAACAAAAAATCTTCTGGAGCTATCCAACCTAATGAATATTCGTAGTAAAAATTACACTCTGTATTATTATAGACTGCAAATGACAAATGACAACCTGGATTGATACTAGTGCCAGTAAAGGTTTTCTCATTATTTTTGCCAATATTAACAATAAAGATTAGTTTTTCAGGAACAGTAGTTATGCGTGAAATAAAATGTTCAATATTTCCAACAAAATTAAAGTAAATTACTAAGAAATCATTTTAAAATGGATTTAAAATGCTGCAAATTAGAAGCATATGATCAGATGATAGCCTTCTGGAACAACAGAGTTCAGCTAACGTATTTTGTGTCATACTATAACCTGAAATTTCTCTGTTTGCTGGTTTACCGAATAATACATCTTTAAATTTATCAATTAAATATTAGGTAGGATATGTATTAATGGATTTTCGTAACAACTTTGAAGAATTAAACCACAATATTTCTTGTTCAACGGCTAATTTGATTTCTTGAATTCTATGAAGGGTAATCATATGTTGTAAACTTTCATAGGTAAAAATTCCTAACTTACATTCTACAAACTGGAACCCAAATGCAATTTTTTTGCGTAGTAATAGTTCATTAGACCATTTGATTAATTGATTTTTTAAAGAAACCTTGTTCAAAGAAAAGTATTAAAAATATGTGTATATACATATACATCTATATATATATATATATATATATATATATATATATATATATAT